AGGCAGGGATCATCCCCATAGGCAGGGAGCATCCCCACAGGCAGGGAGCATCCCCAGAGACAGAGAGCATCCCCATAGACCGGGAGCATCCCCATAAACAGGGAGCATCCCCATAGACCAGGAGCATCCCCATAAACAGGGAGCATCCCCACAGGCAGGGAGCATCTCCACAGGCAGAGAGCATCCCCATAGACCGGGAGCATCTCCATAGGCAGGGATCATCCCCACAGGCAGGGAGCATCCCTATAGGCAGGGAGCATCTCCTGACGCAGGGAGCATCCCCACAGGCAGGGAGCAGCCCCACAGGCAGGAAGCATCTCCACAGGCAGGGAGCATCCCCATAGACCGGGAGCACCCCCATAGGAAGGGAGCATCCCCACAGGCAGGGAGCATCCCCATAAACAGAGATCATCCCCACAGGCAGGGAGCATCTCCATAGGCAGGGAACATCTCCATAGGCAGGGAGCATTCCCCACAGGCTGGGATCATCCCCATAGACAGGGATCATCCCCACAGGCTGGGATCATCCCTATAGGCAGGGAGCATCCCCACAGGCAGGGAGCATCCCCACAGGCAGGGAGCATCCCCACAGGCAGGGAGCATCCCCACAGGCAGGGAGCATCCCCACAGGCAGGGAGCATCCCCACAGGCAGGGAGCATCCCCACAGGCAGGGAGCATCCCCATAGACAGGGGAGCATCCCCTTAAACAGGGATCATCCCTGCAGGCAGGGAGCATCTCCACAGGCAGGGAGCATCCCCATAGACTGGGAGCATCTCCACAGACAGGCAGCATCCCCGTAGGCAGCGATCATCCCCATGGCCCCCGCTGCAGATGCAGGACCAGGCTGGTACCGCTTTCCCGAAGCAATGAAGCATCATTTGGTGAAGAATCCCTCTCGTGCCAGGGCTGATGCCCCGCACCCTTCATCCCAGTTCGCAGGGATGCCCATCCCAGGGCTGTGCCCCTCATGGTGTGGCTGACACCGAGTCACGTTGCTGAAAACTGTTTCTAGATGCACCTGGGCAGGGTGGCAGAAATCAATGAGAAGGTAGCACCTT